ACACACACACACATGCGCGTTGGTGCGCCTTTTTACCTGAAACTCCAGAGATTCGATTTGCGAAACCAGTTCCTTCACCCTGGAGATTCTCTCGCTTTTGAGTTTCTTAGCCATTTCCCTGACCTCTGCGACACGTGGCAATCCGCTGTCGTCGACCTCTTCCTCTCCGCCGTTCGCATGAGCCGACAGCTCCGCCTCCGCCTCTACCCCGCCTTTCTCTCCCCGATCCGTTGGCTCCCGTCTAACCTGGACCCGATCCGTCGGCTCTCGCCTAGGTAGAGCCCGATCCGTCCCCACCCACGCGGAAGCGGCGGCGCCGCCGCCTCCACTGCCGCATATGCTCTGCGGCGACTTCACCGCATCCTCGCTGCGAGCGCGCTTGGGCGCGCGTGACTCTTCATCGCTGCGCGCACACGAGCCATTCATGATGCTGGCCCAACGATCGCCGGGATCCCATCCAAAACTCTCTCCTTCCTCTCTTCCCTCCTCCTGCCTCGATTTCCTTCCTCCACGTCAAACAACTTCCCCGAAAACGAGCGGCTAGCAGACACGCGCACACCCGCCACCCACCCTCCTGGAATCCACCTGCTACCAGCATCCATGCACTGAAGCCAGCCAGCCAGAAGAAAAGCTACACGTACGCGCCAATGCCCTCCACCGACTCTTCTGTCCCCCGCTCGTTCATCCGTGTCGCGACGCGCAATCCCGACCTGCCGCCCGGTTCCCTGTCAACCTTTTTTCCGCTAGAATAGACGCTGTCTTCCCGCTAGAATAAACGCGCAAACACGAGCTACAGAAAGGCGGCACCAATCAAAAGCATTCCTTCCCGCCTTCCCGCCTTCCCGCTCTCCCTCCTCTTTTGCAACGCTGTCTTCAACTTCGTTATCCCGCCTGCGTCAAAGTTTTGGCGCTCGCTGCCTATGATGGCGCCCGAATTGCGAATTGCGAATTGCGAATCGAATGAATGAAGATCGGAGATTCAACTCGATGCCTTCGGATCCTATCCTACCATCGGATTTGCTCGTCGACGGCGCCACTTCCTGTGGACATGCAAGGGGATCCACCTCAGCATGAACTGTCCACGTCAGCCTCTCCCTGTCTCGTCTTCCCATGCCTCCTTGAGGGATGCCCGAAACCCCTTTTCACCCCTGTTCGTGCGTATTTGCCGGTCCCCGGCGGCCTACCATCGCACCGGATGCCAAAATCTCATCGACATCGACACTCCCCGCAAGGGCCTCTGCAACACCAGAGTAGGTGAAATCGCAGCAAACGTGCTTTCCTCCTTTGACGCCGATCTGGAAGGCAGGCACGCCCATTGCTCCCGCCATCAGGGCGATGGCAAAACGGTGCTCATACGGAATTGTGACAAACACGGCATGAGTTCAAACCGAGAGGAGTGGATCCGGCCCATTTGCGTCTGTAACGAGGCTTTTTTGTGTACCCCTCTATACCCAGTCCCAGCGCCCAACTTGCATCGATGCCCGAAACCCCTTCAACTTTGCATAATAGTACCCAAACCCGACTTTTGCGCTGTGCGAAATTGTAGGCATACCCACCCAGTCGGTTCCGGACCACGAACGAAATTATGCTTGTAATGTCCAGAAATGGGATGGCAAAATTGTGGGTGCACCCACACCCAGTGGCTGGCCTTGAGAGGCCGAGCAGAAAAGTGTGGGCCAACGGCTGCTGGGTATAAGCATAATTTCAGCCATCCGGGGGCCTCGGCCCACATGCCAGCAAATAGTTCGCAGCCAGAGGCTGCGCTTACCTGGGTTGCAAGGTTTTCTTTTCTGTTCGGGAAATGTCGTGGACTTTAATCGAAGTTCGGTGGGGTGTTTTTGGGCTTTTGGGGGGGGGGAGAAGGGTGCGGTCGCGGCTAGGAGACGGAGTGGTAGTGCGAGTGGTCGTTGCAGGCTTTGGGCAATTGGTCGGTTCATTAGGTTCGTCGGGCTTGTGATGGGTGGCGACCACGTTTCCTTTTCGGGTGGAGGGTTGAGTGTTTTTTGTGGGGCTGTCGGGTGTTTTTTCCTGGATTGTTTTTTTTTTTTTTTTTTTTTTTTGCTTTGGTCGTTCCATTCGTTCATGAAACAAGTGTGAATGAATGAATGAATTTGTTTGAATGAATTTGACCGCTGCCAGGCAAGTGGGTTCATTGTTTTAATTTTTCCTCCTTTTTTTTCTTCTTGTCCTGTCTTTCTTGACTGGTCGTCGTTTGTGTCGTTTTTCGGTACCGCTTCGAATTCTTTTATTTAGAACACAGCCAGCCATTCCTTATCTTTTTGCTCGAGGTTTTTTTTTTTTTTTTTTTTTTTTTTTTTTTTTTTTTGGTCTTTTCTTTTTTTTTTATTTTTTTATTTTTTTATTTTTTTATTTTTTTATTTTAATTAATTTTAATTTCTTATTTATTTTTTAATTTTAATTTTAATTTAATTTTAAATTTCTTATAATGCCTTTGGTGGTTTTCGTTCGTTAGTTCACGACATTTCAAGCGTGAACGTCACCACTGTCAGGCAACCGGGTTCAAAGGGATGTCGGTTCATATTTTTTTGGTCGTCGACAAGTCGACTCTGGCCTTTTTTTGGGGGGGGTCGAATTGAAAAAGTAGTAGGTTCAGGTCTTTTGTAGTTATTTTGGGGGTCGAAAAAATGTAGGTTCAACTCTTTTCTTCGGGTCGAAGGCAAGCGGGTCGTGCGATTTGTACGTCGACGAATCGACTTTGGGTTTTTTTTGGGGGGGGGTCGAAAGGCAAGCGGGTCGTTCGATTTGGTCATCGAGGAGTCGACTCCGGGCTTTTTTGGGGGGGGGTCGAAATCGAGATCGAGAAAAGGGGTCTCGTTTCCTCGACGACTGAAGTCTGAACTTGACTTTGCTTTGGGCAATTGGTCGGTTCATCAGGTTCGTCGGGCTTGTCATGGGCGGCAACCATGTTTCGTTTTCGGGTGGAGGGTTGGGTGTTTTTTGGGAGCTTGTTGGGTGTTTTAGTTTTTTCAAGTCGAGGGTCGTGGAACGAGCCCCCTACTGAATCTCACTTTTGTGCCTTCTGAGTTGAAATGGTCTTCCCCCGATGCAGCCAAAATGAGGAAGAGGTCGACGAATGATTCAAGGCTGGGTTGAGGTTGTGAGGTGCCCGGCCTTAGGCAAGGACTAGAATCGAACTTGGGTCTTTTTTTTTTCTTTTTTTCTTTTTTAGCTTTTTTAAGTCGAGAGTCGTGGAACGAAGTCCCTACTAAATCTCATTTTTGTGCCTTGACGTCTACTATTTAGATGTTTTTGTAGATAAGTCAAGTCAAGGGGGTAGAGTGATCACCGAATGCATGTATAAAAAAGTTAGTATGGGTGGGCAAAAAAAAGTGTACAAACCGCAAAAAACTCTTGAAAATGCAATATAAAGTCAGGCCTCCACAATGTGTAAGGTGTGATAAAAAAGACCCATTGCATCTCGCCTTCTTTCTGAGAGAATTTATCCCTTCGCCACTTCGGCCTCCCAGCCTGCTATCGTTGTTTTTGGAACTAAAAACTTCGTCCCCTCTACAACCCCTCTGCCCTAGTTGCAGTGCCCCCCTGCGCAACGCGCGGTTACAGTATAGTTTACTAGTCTGTGTGACAGTCGAAGGAGGGAAACGAATGCGATTCAGCATGTGCGTTTGCCGCCTGGGTCTAGGTCCGCTACTCTCCTCTCTGTGCAAAACCATCGTGCATATAGTGCAGAACATGGACAGATACACCTCCACGATATTTGTTATTTTATTTTTTCAAAGTTGACCACGATTTTTGCCTTTTTGCACATCCACGGTAGTTGGGCGAGGCCCTTTGTGTGCAGTTGGGCGACGGTCCACTACTCTCGACACACACAAAAGACAAAAAATCGTGGCGGTGTATCTTTCCGTGTTCTAGCAGAAAATTCACTCTCGTTTTGCACATTTCGATAGTAGTGGAGCGAGGCCCTTTATTGGATGGACCTCCTTTGGGTGTACCAACTGAGGGCACACTCACAGTAGCACTATCCTTAATGTATCTGACAGCGTTTACGGCTGGACCTGTATGCATCTGCCCACAATTCCGTCCATACATAAGTAACAACTGCTAGTGTGAGTATGCCCTGGGCTAGAGCAGTTGGTGGGACCGCTGGGGTTAGCTGAGAAATATTGGAGAAAAAAAAATGAGAGACAGTAGGCGTTAGAGTAGTAACTGAGTCGGGGTAGACTCGGGGGGGCAGCCGACCCCGTGAGAGGCTTAACGAATAGTATTTTATGCCAGAAAAACGAGGTTAGTATACTACACCGTATTCCCTCTCCCTCCATTCCACACGGGACCCCTAAAGCAACTAAGAACCAATGACAAAAGGGAGCCTAAATGGCGGGATGCATAATCCCACCGTCCGTTAAAAATACAATCGACAGTTCCTAACAGTCCCACACCGTCACACGGACTAGTAAACTATACTACTCGCTGGCATGTGGCCCGAGGCCCCAGGAGTAGCTGTATGAATGATTTGGCCGCTCCACCATAATTTGTGCATCTTTGCGAGTACCAACCTGGGTCCATGTCAATCCTGGGCATGCAAATAAGTTTCAGTGGCCCTTTTCCAGGTATAGTCCCAAGTTGGGACTGGGACTGGGACTAAGTAAAGCAGGTATTTCCTTTTTATTTTTTTAATTTTTTTAATTTTTTTAATTTTTACTGGTGTTCGCCTGCACATCTATTGATGTCGAGCCTGGGCCGACCGGTATGTCGAGCCATGCTGAGGCTGGAGCTACTTGTAGTACAAAAGGCATCTATCTCTCGTTAAACCACCACTACCTCTGTCACTCTTGAGAAAATGAGGAAAATTACAGTTTTTTCACTTTTTTTCGAACTTTTCGAGGATATGAGGAGGCTCAGTAGTTGGGCCTTGTGGAACTCTCTCTCTCTCTCTCTCTCTCTCTCTCTCTCTCTCTCTCTCTCTCTCTTGGCAAGTTGCAACTCGTCGGGATACTCTCTCTCTCTCTCGACGAGTTGCAACTCACCGGTATTCTCTCTCTCTCTCTCTCTCTCTCTCTCTCTCTCTCTCTCTCTCTCTCTCTCTCTCTCT